GACTGCCCGCAGTTGAAGAAGAACTTACCTAACGACAAGAAGCAGTCGGGTAGTGGAGATCGTCAGTAGCAGATGGGCCACCTACTGGCTTGATTGCGTCGCCCAAACGCCACCACCCCCACCAGGTTATAGTGCCGATTTGGGCTATCGACCATTCCTGGCTGAATAAGGGGGGTGAACCGGTTGATCACCCTATGCTGGTTGAAGGGAGAGTTGGTGACACCCGCATCAAAATATTCACTGATGACAGGGCGAGCCACAGTTTGATGGACGTGACAAAGGTGAAAAAATTGCGACAGCAACTAGAGCGTTGCATGCCTGAAATCGACGCGCGATTGGTCGACGGCACACCATTGGCAATTTTGGAGCGAGTACCTCACGTGCGAGTAACATGCGGCGAAAATTTTAGTTTCACGACGAAGATGCTGGCGACGACTTTGGATGGTTGCAACATGCTGTTGGGACGCGATTGGCTGCGCGAACACAACCCGAGCATTGACTGGCGGAAGGGCGACTGTCGCATAAAATGGAGTGGCGGAAGGGCGATTGTCGCATAAAATGGAGTGGCGAGTGGCGACGACTACCCAAGTGGAGCTGTCAAGAGTCGACGGCATCGACGGTCAGCGCCGTAACAATCAAGCGAGCTATGATTCGAGGGGCGCAACTATACGCTGTCCGATGGATTGCATCAACGGCTGTCGACACGCACGCAGACATCGACAAACTCTGCGCAGCTGTCCCGCATGATTTGGCCACAGTGATTCGAAAGCACGCCGACATTTTTCCAGACGACCTACCGGCGGGTTTGCCACCTGAACGAGACCATGACCACAAAATCGAGTTGGAGCCCGGCGCGCAACCGACTGTTCGGACTCAATGGCGGCTGACTCAGCCTGAGCTGGATGAACTTCGACGCTAGCTGGACTACTTGCTCGAGAAAGGTTTCGTTCGCCCCAGCACTTCCGTTTGTAGCCCCGATCTTGTTCGCCCCGAAGAAAGATTGCGGTCTACGAATGTGTATTGACTACCGCGCCTTGAATCGGGTCACCATCAAGTCCCGCTATCCTATCCCGCGTGCCGACGAACTCATCGACCAACTTCGTGGAGCCAAGTTCTTTTCGAAAATTGACCTGCAAGGCGGTTACCATCAGATCCGCGCGAACGAAGTTGACTGCTACAAGACGGCGTTTCGGACCCGGCACGGGAGTTACGAGTACATGGTTATGCCATTTGGCTTAACAAACGCACCTTCGACGTTCCAGTTAACCATGAATGAAGGTTTTTGGCCGCTGCTGGATAAATGCGTCGTCGTGTACCTCGACGACATCCTGATCTACAGCACTATCCGGGAACAACATTTGAAGGAATCTCCGCGAACTTCAGCGTTTTCTGGGGTTCGTGAATTACGTTCGCCGGTTCATCCCGAACATGGCGGGGGTAACTTCCCCTCTCACGGATCTCCTGAAGCAAGGCAAGTTTTATGAGTGGGGGGGAGAGCAGCAGGCTGCGTTAGAAAAGCTCAAACGTTTCCTGACTACACCTCTGGTTCTTCGAATTGCAGATCCTCACCGTCCGTTCGAGCTCATCACCAACGCTAACGACTTGGCTGTTGGCGCAGTACTGTTACAAGACTTCGGCGAAGGCCTCCGACCCATCGCCTACGAGTCACAAAAGCTGAACCCAACCGAGCGAAATTATCCTGTCCACGACAAGGAGTTACTTGCCATCGTTCACGCTTTCAAGGTCTGGCGCTGCTACCTGACGGGCATTGATGTGACAGTCCAAACAGACCACAAGTCGCTACAGTTCATCCACGCCCAACCGGCACTAAATCCCCGACAGATTCGCTGGCTCGATTACCTCGAGTCAAACTTCCACTACAGAGTCGCCTACAAACGGGGGTTTAGCAACATCGCCGACGCCCTGACCCGCCCTTCAGTCCACACCGTCGCAGTCCTAATTACCCAAGCTAATCCACAACTAAATGGTCTATTCACCCACGGATACAGTACTGATCCATTCTTCACCACTAACAGTCATCCCCGACTGACGGCCAAGCAAGGGGACTATTACCTAAAATCCGGTACCAATCGGATTTGGGTTCCCGTCTATCGCACCCTACGCGAGCTACTGATCCAGGAGGCACACGACTCAAATTTCTCGGGTCACTACGGCATCGACAAATTCGCCAAATTACTGAGCCGTAATTATTACTGGCCCGATTTGCCGACAGACGTGCAGCAGTACGTCACCTCCTGCGCCACGTGTCAACGCATGAAGTCTTCACGGCTTCAACCCGCTGGATTGCTGCAACCGCTCGAGCCACCCAGCCGACCCTGACAACAAGTGACGATGGATTTCGTCACTGGCTTGCCAGCTGGTTCAAGCGGTAACGACACGATTCTCGTCGTCGTTGACTTGTTGACCAGGATGGCCCACTTCGCCGCCTGCAAGACAACGATTACTGTCGAGCAGACAGCGAAACTGTTCCTCACAAACATCGTGCGGCTATATGGCATCCCTTCCGCAATCATCAGCGATCGTGACCCACGGTTCACGCCCAATTTCTGGACAAAAACCAGGCAGCAGTACGGCACACGTCTGCATCTGTCCACGGCGTACCACCCCCAATCGGACGGCCAGACCGAGCGCACCAATCAGACAATGGAGCAGCTGATTCGCACGACGTGCACAGACCCGGCCTGATGGGAAGAATCCCTTCCCTTGATCGAGTTTGCGTACAACAACGCCCCATCGGCCACGACTATTCAGTCTCCGTTCTTCCTCAATTACGGGATAGATCCGACAACCCCGCTATCGCCACCGATAGAAAACCCAGCACCAAGATCTCAGCAGTTCGTCGAAAATCTCCAATAGTCTGAGCAAAAAGCCGCCGATGCCATCCTCAAAGCCAACCAGACGGCTAAGCAGCAAGCTGACCGATGACGCCGAGACTTAACGCTCGCCCCTGGGAAATTGGTCCTGCTCGACACCAGAAATTTGGGAATTCCCCTCCCAAATAAATTACGAGCAAGATTTTGCAGCCCATTCCGCATCATCCGCATGGTGACACCAGTCACCGCCCAGCTGCAACTGCCAGCCGACTAGCGAATTCAGGATTCATTCCACGTCAGTCTCCTGCGACTGTTCATCCCGAGTACGACTAATCTCGACCGTCAACACATCAATCCTACGGTCCACCCAGTACCTAAGCCGACGATCGAGCCATCCAAGATCCTCGCTCATCGCGTACGAGGCCAATGAGACACCGCAACCATTGATTTCCTTGTACGATGGGTCGATCGCACGACTGACGACGATCTTTGGGTCCCCGCAGCTATGCTCGGCGAACACAAAGTCGTCAGGGACTATTTACACCAACGACGTGTCCCGGATGTGGGTAGTCTCATCCCGGAAGGGGAGGTGGTGTAAGGAAATTCCCTTTTCCTTACTGGGCTCGACTACAGCGCGTACGCCCTCGACTCTCGGAAGTCCAGGCTCGGCCAACTTCGTCGGTCCCGAACCATTTCGCGAACCCAAACCTCGACGGGCAGTGCTTCCGTGGCTTTCGCCAACCGAATCTCCCCAACCTGTTCGCGTGGTTCTCGGCTAGCTCTGTTCGTGCCTATAGATGCCTAGGCCTTTATTTGTATCGACACTCTTGAATCACGACTCCTTTATTACACTACCTGCTATTACTCTGATTAATTCATAACATGGGGAGTACTACATGAAGTTGTATTTTTGCACTGGAGTTTCTCCTTGATGCATGGGTTGTTTGTAAAGGATCTGTTTTCAGAGGGCCATCATTGGATTCCGCCGCACCGACTCGGGATGGTCTAGGCAGAGTTGGACGAAAATGGGAGCCACGTTTTTCGGGTTTTCAGGGTTCCTTGTAAGATACCCAGCAGTTTTCGCCTCACAAGTTTCGTACGGATGTGTAGGGAAAACTCCCATACAACCGGAGATTGATGGATTTCCATTTTTGTTTCAAACAGACCTCCTACCCTGTAAAAAGGAAGCAGAGGGGACTTCTATACTGTACATCCTGCCCCTCGCCCAACCTATCATTCCCGCACCGCGCTTACGGATTGAACCACCAGGCGCTTCGTCGGCACCCGCAACTCCAAGCATGGCACAGCAGATCCACCTCCCTCCCAAATTGCCCCAATTCGCCCCAATTCGCCCCTTCTCCCGTGCGTTACACCCAACCCACCCGCCAGAATCCACCAGATTCCTCCCCTCTTCCCCACCCCACCGCGCTCAATTCTACACGGCCGAACCAACCAATGCTGGAAGGGGCGATCATCCCCGCTGTTCCTGTCATGCGCGTTGAGCCAAAGTTGAGCCCCCAAAACCAAACCCCCCACCCCACCTCCCCCACCAACCAAACCAACAGCATCTTCATGCTTAGGGCGTGTGGCAAGTAGTTCCAAAACGGAGGGAGCGGTGGGACGGGAGCGGAGGGGGTGGAAAACCCGTCGCACAGCGGCGCGGCAAGTGACGACTGTAGAAACACAGCATGGGAGAGGAGCGGAATTTCGGGGCAAAATATGAACAGCCTGGTCACAAAAAAAAAGGAACCTGACTGGCTGCCCAAGCGAGCTGACGAAGAAGTATCATACCAGCAAGCGACGATAGGGAAACACACAACACAGCCAATCACAGGAAACCTATGGTGCAAACTCATGGGTTTGTGATGTGGCGATGGTTGCTGGTTTCGCGAATTCTGCGATTATCGCAATTTGCAGTTTGCCAATGTGCAGTTTTGTCGGGGTCGCATGTTGGGTTAATTTCGTTCCGGGCAGCGAGTACACTCCTGTCCGTGTGGCAAGTGACAACTGTAGCATCAAAATGATCGGAGCTCCCGTCTTATGTTTCGGGAGTTCGGGAGCGGAATGACGGGAGGGGCGGAGCGGAAACAATCGGAACGGAATTCTACTTGCCACACGCCCTAACTCTGTACGACAACTCACAACTCAGCAGCACCGCCACACCACCACCACTCTCGCCACAGGACGGGTCAGGCCAGGAGGACTCGGGAGTTGGGAGGACTCTACAACTCCAGGGATCTCACTCCCCCGTCGCTCGCGTCCTTCCCTCCCTGGGAACTTGGTTCCAGCACCCGTCTCTCTTGCGAGAGACGACACCACGACTCTCCCATGGAAGCGCGCGCATGCTGTAGTGTAGTGTAGTCTAGACTTCTCATGATCACAACTCACGGGACGGGACAACGACCGTTGCACAACAGCAATGCACACAGCGACCGTTGACCGTTGGCCCGCCTCAAACGCTCATAAAGGCTCTCTCGGCGCAAGTGGCGCGCACATTCGAGGCGCCTCCAACGCTCCCTCGGGCTCGCCGTGCGCGCGCGTACATCTGCGCTGACGCGCGCGGCGGATCTAGTGAAGGGCGGCCGCTTATTCTGGAGGAACGAATCGAGTCGAGTCGAGTCGAGGTGCACGGCGGGGCACACGGCGAGACGCCCTTCCATTCTCGCTCTCTCTTGAATCGCGGTCGTTAGACAACAGCGGAAGAGAGATCGTCCCTCTTCCGTTCTCTTGAAGCCCGCTCAGAGTGACTCTCGAGTCTCTTGTCTCAACTCCGAACCTCCGATGCTGCTTCGACTCTCCGAACCTACCAGCCTTGGATCCTCCCCGGCGGAGCCTTTTCCCTGCACGAAGAGTCTGACATCATGACGACTCGGAGTCAATCCAACGGTCGTGAATGCGGCGGATCTCGAGGTCGGAGCGCGTTTCCCAATGCGCGCCACGTGCTGCTCGTGCTGCGACTCGTGGTGCTCGGCGTCGCAGGCTTGGCGTTGGATCACGGGGTCCTCCGCTGCTGCCACGTGGCGGTGGTAGCAGCGACGTCTGCTGATGCTGCTGCTGACGTGTCAACAGCATCATGGCCACCATGTGAGATGCGATCCGGGAATTGACATAACGTTGCAAATCCGATTCGTGCGTGCGTGCGTGCGTGCGTGCGTACGTGCGTGCGCGCCTGACTGCGTGTGTATTTCCCAACTCAGAAGCACAACCCCAGGCGATTCAGCTTCCTGCTTGCTTGCTGTCCTGCGCTCTCGCCGCACAGCGACCTGAACGTCATCCTGAATCCGGCTGCGAGAGATTTTTGAGAGCTCTCAAACATCCTGAATCCGCCTCAGCTCAGGTTCCTTAGTGTCTCAATCAACTATGGTATGAATGCGGCCCGGTTGGTGGCCCTCGGCCATAATCCCTCTGTGCCCTTCTGCCATGTCTCCTGTGCCCCTCTGCTATGTCTCCTGTGCCCCTCTGCCATGTCTCCTGTGCCCCTCTGCCATGTCTCCTGTGCCCCTCTTTCCCTTGTGTGCTCCCCATTTCCCCTGGGCTCCCCTCACCCACGATTCCAGCACCAGCGGCAAAGGGAGGAGCAGGGGAAGGGGTAGGTGGAGGAATAAGTGGGGAGTTGGGGAAGAGCCAGCAGCAGCAGCATGGGTGGATGCATGGGTGGGAGGTGGAGGGGTGCTGCGTGCGTGCAGGAGAGGGCATTGGAGACGCAGCAGCAATCATCCCAGGCAGTGAGTAACTCACAACAACGCCGCACACATTCTGTGCCCACACCACGCAACCAGAACCAGAACCAGAACCAGAACCAGAACCAGAACCAGAACCAGAACCAGAACCAGAACCAGAACCAGAACCAGAACCAGAACCAGAACCAGAACCAGAACCAGAACCAGAACCAGAACCAGAACCAGAACCAGAAACCAGAACCAGAACCAGAACCAGAACCAGAACCAGAAAAACCAGAACCAGAACCAGAACCAGAACCAGAACCAGAACCAGAACCAGAACCAGAACCAGAACCAGAACCAGAACCAGAACCAGAACCAGAACCAGAACCAGAACCAGAACCAGAACCAGAACCAGAACCAGAACCAGAACCAGAACCAGAACCAGAAACCAGAACCAGAACCAGAACCAGAACCAGAACCAGAACCAGAACCAGAACCAGAACCAGAACCAGAACCAGAACCAGAACCAGAACCAGAACCAGAACCAGAACCAGAACCAGAACCAGAACCAGAACCAGAACCAGAACCAGAACCAGAACCAGAACCAGAACCAGAACCAGAACCAGAACCAGAACCAGAACCAGAACCAGAACCAGAACCAGAACCAGAACCAGAACCAGAACCACAACTACAACCACAACCACAACCACAACCACAACCACACCTGCAGCAGAACGCCCCGTGCAGTCTCCCCATTTTGTCAAGCCCTTTCTCTCCCCCCACCACGGGTGCCCGCTCCCTTCACAGTGTCCGCTTGATCGACTAAAATACACCCGGCTTGCCTTCCTCCCATATTCTTACTTTCCTTTCTCCCACTCCCCTTCTGTCTTTCCTCCCACACCCCTTCCTTCCTCCCTCCCACACCCCCGTCTCCCAGTCCCCTCCCAGTCCGTGTTCCGCCGTGTGCCCACCCGCCCCGGCTGCCTCTACGCGCTCTCCTTCCTCTTCTCCTCACACCCCTCCAAGCTGCAGCAGCAGCAGCAGCAGCAGCAGGAGCAGCAGGAGCAGGAGCAGCAGCAGTGGGGGCTCCAGCAGAATCCGCAGCGTCAAAATGAAAAAGCAGCAGCAGCAGCAGCAGCGGCAGCAGCAGCAGCAGCAGAGGCAGGGAGTGTGCTGTTGACGGCAGTGGGCATGTCTGAGGACCATGAGCAGCACCTTCTGATGGACGCAGTGCGAGAGAGGATGGTGAGGGAAAGGAAGGAGGATCTGTGTCAGTGCCAGTGCCAGTGCCAGTGCCAGTATTAGTGTCAGTCCCCTCACACACCCATCCTTGAGCTGTGAGCAGGAAGGAATCATGTTCACAACTCTGCCATGTGCCATGAACGCATGGCGTCCGTGTCCGTGTCCGTGTCAGTGTCAGTGTCAAGTTCAGTGTCAGTGTGTTGCGGCCCTACGTGAGCCAGCCAGTCAGTTTCACTGTCGCCATGCACACATACATCCTTCCTCTAACCATACTCCGTATCCTCTATCTCTCTCACCCTCTCTCCCCCTCTCACCCACTCCGTCTCTCTCCCCCCAGACCCACCAGTGAGCTCTCAAGACCTTGGCTTTCACTGCCACCACCCTTTCCACCCTCCGTTCCTCTACATGCATCCATCCATCCTTCCCCTAATCATGCTCCTCCCCTCTGCGTCCACTCGACCATTCTTTCCTTTCTTCCCTCTCCCCTCCCACCCGCCCCGTCTTCCCCCCCCCCCCAGACCCACCAGTGGACTCTCAAGACCTTGGGTTTCACTGCCACCACCCCCTCCACCCTCCTCACCTTCGCGTCCCTGCCCTCATCGCATCACTCGCCTGCAGCTGCTGCCTGCTGCCGCTGCACTGGGACTAGCAGTAGCAGCACCAGCACCAGCAGCGGCAGCAGCAGCGGCAGCAGCAGCAGCAGCAACGGCAGCATTAGCAGCAGAAGCGGCCAGGGGTGCTCTTCCTTGCTCTCAGCAGTGCCTGTAGCAGCCATTGCCAACGTCACTGTCAGCCTCGTTCACTGCCCCACGTGAGTGCGCACCCTTGCACTGCAATGCACACATGTCTGGTGCCGGTTGAGTCGACTCGATAGGGACTGCACTGCACCGAGCATGTGAATGTGCTGCACCGTGCACGTGAATGCACTGCACCGTGCACGTGAATGCACTGCTGTTAGAATTTCCGGCAGCGCTCTCGCTGCTCTCAGGTCGTTCTTACACTCCAAACAAACACCCGACAGCACTCTCGCAAGTACTAAGGGTAGACTTAACGCCACCAGTCAAGTTCTGGTTGCAAACAGGCAGCACGACGCGAGGGAGAAATATCAGATTTCTATTATCTACAAAGAGATACAAAGAAACAGATTTATGTGGAAATTTTTCCTAAGCCACATGACATTGCGTAGCGCACATCCGAACCGCATTTCACACAATGTAACCGAACCGTGTTTCTGCTCCTCCGAACACCACGACATTGTACCATTTTCTGCTCGTCGCTCACAAGTCCTCCGCGTGTCCCAAACACCTCCTCCTTCCAACACGTAACCCTGCAGTCCCTCACCACATAGCACACCCCTATGTAGTCTTCAGCTTACGCCACCTGTTAGCGCTGCCACACTGCCACCTAGCTTATGCCATCTGTTCGAGCTGCCACGCGTTGACTAGGGACAAGCGCGAACCACCTCCAACAACTGCACCGTGCATGTGAATGCTTGTACGTGCATGTACGGCGCCCTTGGTAGCCAAACTCTCTCGCCATCCACTCCCTCCTCCTATAACGCCCATCTCATCTTCTTCTGTTCTCCCTTCCTCCTTCCCTTCCCTCCCCTCCCCTCCCCTCCCCTCCCCTCCCCTTCCCTTCCCTTCCTTCTCTACTTGCATCAGCAGCAGCAGCGGCACCAGTGGCGGCGGCAGCGGCAGAAGTGGAAACTTCAGCAGATGGGAAGTAGAAGATGTAGGAGAGGAAGCAAGGCAGGAAGGCGAGCAAGATGTGGCAGCACACTCACGCTCCTCCTCTCTGCCACCTGTCGCTCTCCTGTTGGAGAACAGCAGTCCCCTCCCACCTGCTGACGTGGCAGCAGATATGGCAGCAGCAGTGGCAGCGGTAGAGGCTGGGGGATGGGGGGAGAAGGGAGATGATCGGAGAAGGTGGGAGGGAGAAGAGGAGGAGGGATCATTTGCTTCAGATTTTGCTGCTCCTGGTCTTTCCCCTCTCCCCTCCCTCTCCTCCCCTCCTCCCTCTCCTATGCCTTGCTCTCGCACGCTCCTTCGCCTCCTTGCTTCCCCTCCTCCTTCTCCCTTTCCTCCTCCTCCGTCTCCCCATCACTCCATGGCAACATCGAGTGCCGGCCTATTGAGTCACATAGCTGGAGTACAGGACACAAACCTCACGCCCCCAATCTCTTCTCCATCCATCGCACCTCCTCCCATTCCTCTCTCCACCTCTCCTCCTCCCTCGTCCGTTACAGCCCTCCCCATACTTCCACTTCCCATGGCCGCTCCCACCCCTCCTACCCCTCCCCCCCCTGTCACTGTCCCCTCCCAACCATCCTTAGATCCCTTTTTCCACCTCCCCCTCCCGCTCCTTCCCCACAATCTCCTCCCCAACCGCACACCACCCATCCGCAAACCCCCCCTCCCCAAACGCCCCCCAATCAAACGCAAGCCCCCTCGTCCCCCTCCCCGCCCCCCTCCCCGCCCTCCACCACCCCCCCCTAGCCCCCCCCCTCCGCCCTCCCCTCCCCCTGCTGCGTGGTACCGTATGTTTGAAGCGGGACAGCCTGTAAAGAGGATAGCAGTGGCGTATAATGGGAAGAACGCACGGGTGGAAGGGAACAGCGTGCAACTGACGTTTCAGCAAGGAACAGGAGGTGAGGGATGGGGAACATGGTGTGGTGTGGTGTGGTGTGGTGTGGTGTGGTGTGGAGTCAGTGAGCTGGTAAAGGGCGCTTCTGCTGCGGGCACGGGAAGAAGGTGAGGCGGAGCAGCCGGAGCCAGGGTGTAGTGGAATTGTGTAGAGCTGACATTTTGTCCGGGAATAGGTGGTGGGGGGTGGTGGGGGGGGGAGAGGGAGGGGAGGGGTTGGGTGGAGTGGAACAATGCGGGGCTGACGTTTCTGCAGGGGAAGGGAGGTGATTGAGAGCTGGGGAAGATTGTCTTCCCTAGAACGAGGCAGGAACGAGGGAGGAACGAGGGAGGAACGAGGGAGGAATTCTATAGTTGCTTCGTGGGTGCCTCTTGGATCCTTCCAAAGAGTCCCTTTTTAGAATTCTAAAAAGATGCATCGTGGGTTTATCCAAAAATCCACATGCCCTCAGCCCCCCACCCACCCACCCACTCAGCCCACCTGAGTCCTGACCCGTACTCTCCTCCCCATTGTGTCTCTCCCTCCTCCCTTCAGGAACCCTGTGGCAATCTGCAGTCCCATTCCCCGCAGGCGTATTCCACTCCTTACCTCTCCTGACATCTATGGGTCAGCTAGACCACACCTTACCTGATCCACGCCTCCCCATCCTCTCTCTCCCCCCCTTATTCAGGCTCCCTGTGGCAGTCTGCAGCCCCATTCGCCTCAGGCGTCTTCCACACCGCCCTCTCCTGCCACTCCTGCCCCTCCTCCCCCACTCGCATTCTCCTCCTCCTCCCATCTTCCCCCTCCATTCAGGTTCCCTATGGCAGTCTGCACTGCAGCCCCATTCCCTTCAGGCGGCTTCCACATCGCCTCTCCTGACACCTACGGGTCGGTTCGACCACACCGTACCCGATCCACGCCTCCCCATCCTTTCTCTTCCCCCCTTATTCAGGCTCCCTGTGGCAGTCTGCAGCCCCGTTCGCCTCAGGTGTATTCCACACCGCCCTCTCCTGCCCCTCAGGGGACACCTCTGGCCTGCTCGTGTCCTTTGGGGTGAGATGTGGTGCAGCATGGTGCAGCATGGTGTGGCATGGTGCGGCATGGTATTGGCGCCTGGTGGTATTGTGCTGTGTAAGTGCGGGGCATGGTACTGTGCGCCATGGTATGGTGCGGCATGGTGCGGTGCTGAATGGTATTGGTGTTTGGTGCGGTGTGGGCACCTGGTAGTAGTATTGTGGAGTGCAGATGGGCTCCCTTCTGGACCGCTCTCTACTGCCTGGGCCTGCTCGTGTCCCTTCCCTTGGGATGAGGGAGCTGTGGTCCGGCATGGATTGGCGCCAGGTGGCATTGTACAGTGTATTAGAGAGTTTCCGCACTGCCCTCTCCGGGCCCTCAGGGAGGGGACACCTCTGGCCTGCTCGTGACCTTTGGAGCGAGTTTTGGTGTGCTGACAGGTGGTGTGCTGTGTTATGGTGTTGTGTGGGGACATCATACTGGCATTCCACCGAATGCCGCTTGTGGTCCATTTTATGAGGCGAACCCTTTCTCTGTGATAGGAGTCTAGTTTCGAGGCACCTCGAAACAAGAATCATACTGGCATTCCACCGAATGCCTCTTGTGGTCCATTTTATGAGGCGCACGAAACCCTTTCTTCCCCAACCCCTTCCTTTCCCCCTCTTCGCTTCCCCCTGCCTCTATCCAGCGCCAGCAGCAGCACCACCACCCCCACATACAGCGTGGCATTTGACATGGCGGGGCAACAACAAGACAGCGCTGCTAGCCACACTGCAACCTCCCTCCCTTCCCCCTCTTCGCTCTCCCTCCAGTTATCCAGCACTGGCAGCACGAGTCCTACATACGGAGTGACCTTTGACGTGGTGGGCAACAACAAGACAGCGTTGCAAGCCACGCTGCACCTCCTCCCCTCCCTTGCGCCCCCTTCCTCCCCCTCAGTTGTCCAGCACAGGCAGCACCAGCCCCACTTACGGAGTGACCTTTGACGTGGTGGGCAGCAACAAGACGATGCTGCTGCTGGCCACGCTGCATCATCTTTTGAGCGGCACCTAACCCCTCTCTTCCCCCACCCCCGCCCTCATCTCACCCTTCCCCTCAGTTGTCCAATTCAGGTAGCACCAGCCCGACTTACGGAGTGACCTTTGACATGGTGGGCAACAACAAGACGATGCTGCTGCTGCCCACGCTGCACCGCGGTGGCAAGGCCTTCCCTTCCTTCGTCCCCCTCCCCTCGCCCAGCGTGACAGTGGCCAGTGAGACAGTGCTGATCACCGCACTGCACCCCACTTGAGCCACCCCAAACCCCTCATTTCCATCCTTCTCACCCCATCTCCCCCTTCCCTTCCAGCTATCCAGCACCGGCAGCACGAGTCCAACCTACGGAGTGACCTTTGACATGGTGGGGAACAACAAGACGAAGCTGCTGGCCACGCTGCACCGCGGTGGCAAGGCCTTCCCCTCCTTCATCACCCTCCCCTCGCCCTGCGACTCCGCCCCTGCTCACCTCTCCCTCTACTGGGACGCCCACTACGTCTCGTGAGTTGACTTGAGCTGACTTGGATTGACTTGAACGCAAGTTGCCGCACGTATTCTCAGACTGACAACAAAGCCCTACATGCATGCATGCATGCATACGCCTCCCCCTCTACTAGGGCTCCCACACTTGTCGTGCGTTGGATGGAGATGGACGGTGGGATGAGCATGATTTTTGCATGCACTTGCACAAGCCTAGTGGACATCCTCCCCTCACCCTGTGACTCCGCCCCTGCACGCCTCTCTCCCCACTAGGACGCCCACTGCGTCTCGTGGGTTGACTTGAGCTGACTTGCGTTGACCTGCGCTCGTTGCCGCAGTTGACTTATTTGACTTGGTTGACTTGGGTTGACGTGAGCGTTCAGGCGTGCGGAGTCTATTCAGAACGCAGTTGACTGGAGCATTGGCATCTCCCCAGCCCCCATAGTCTAAACGTACGATTTCTCAAAGAAGTCAGTACGTGAACCGGCTACCTAATCACAACTCTTAACCCATCCCCCTGTCTCCATCCTCCCATCCCCCCTCTGTCGCACTTGGGTACGTGATTCGCCACCTGCCGGGGGGTCAGCCACGCCTCCTCCGTTCTGTGCTACCCCCTGCCCCCAATTCTCTCTTCACCCCACCCACCCCCGACCCCCCACGGCCCACCCCCCTCTCCCCATCAGCAGTTGGTACATGAACCGGCAGTTTGTGCACTACCTCCCCCGGTCAGCCACGCCCCTGCACTCGCCCCATGGCTTCACATGCCAACCAGACCAGACATAAAAAAGAAACCCCAACCCCCCATCCCCCTAACCAACCCCCCAATCTCCCACCCCAGACCCCCCACCCCCCATCGGCAGTTGGTACGTGAACGAGCAGTTTGTACGGTACCTCCCCCAGTCCGCCACGCCCCTGTGCTTCCCCTCCGTGCCTCTCGTGGTTCATTCTTCATCCCACCGATCCCCCCCACCCCCCCCTTTCCCCATCCGCCAGTTGGTATGTGAACCGGCAGTTTGTGCGGTACCTCCCCCGGTCCAACTCGGCCCTGCGCTTCCCCTCTGTGCCGCTCGTGCTGTTTGGCACCATCAAGGCCGCTGCTCTCACTGACATGGGGCGGTGGGCTGGGAGACTCACAGGGGACAAATCACCCAAGACTGCAGCGTGGAGAGGTGGGGGCGTGCGTGGGTGGGTTAGTGTGTGTGTGCATGCATGCCCCCTCCGTGCTTCTTGAGCTCTTTGGCACCATCAAGGCCGCTGCTCTCACCAGCCTGGGGAGGAGGGCGGGCCGACTGGCAGGGGGCTCCTCGCCCAAGACTGCTGCATGGAGAGATGGGTGGGTGTTTTTGTTTGCTTGCTTGCTTGCTGGGGTGTTAGTTTGCTTGTTTCTTTGTTTGGGTGGACTACTGCAGCAGGCCCTCTTTCTACCCTCTGCACCGCACCCCACTCCACCCAACCCCTCCCCTGACACACCTTTCTCGCAGGCATAGTTTCCAGCACTTTGCTCATTGCTCGAGTCAGTACCCCTCCCCCTCCCCTGTGCCGCTACCTTTTGTGGAATGGCTATTGGCTTGGCCCTGGATTGCCTGTGCTGGGCCTTCTGGCAGTAGACTACTGCAGGCCCTACTTCATCCCTCCCCACCGCATTCCACCATGCCCTGCACCTTTCTGGCAGGCATATCTGCCATCACACCCCTCATGGCTCGAGTGGGCGCCCCTCCCCCCCCTGTTCCACTACCGACTGTGGTGTGGCCGGGGCAGCTGGGGCCCGCAGTGGGGCCTCTGGCGGTGGACTACTGCAAGGAGCACTGCGAGGGGTGCGAGGGTTCGACCGGTGGAATGGCGACCATACGATTCGATAATAAGTGCGGTGGGTGCTGCTGTGGCTGTGATTGTGAGCGTCTGTGTGCCTGCATGTCTACATGCTGTGCTGTGGTGTGGCCGGGGCAGCAGGGCCCGGTGGTGGGTGCTGCTGCTGTGTTGATTAAATAGATGCCTGAGAAGAATACTATACGGTTTGATATTATGTGCGGTGGTGCCTCTGTGGCGTGAGTGGGAAGGTGTGTGTGTATGCGTGTACATGTGCGCATGTACACGTGCTTGCATGCGTGCGGTATGTGGTATGTTTTTTCTTTTCCCTCCGTCACGCCCCTCCTTCTGCTCTCTCCTCGCCTCCTCTTCTCCATCTCTCCCCTCTCTCTTCCGTTTTTTCTCAACTCATTCCATTCCCCCTTCCTTGCCGCTCTCTCCCTCCCTCCCTCCCTCCCTCACCCCCTGCGCGCGGCACCCCACAGGCTCTCGCTTCCGGTCGCCGCTGCCCTTCGCCTTTGGGTTCTTCTCGGTGGACTTCAAGTGCCCCTCGGGCCTCACCAGCGGCCTCGTCTCCAGCTTCTACGTGAGTAATGGCCCCTGCCATGCGCTCATGGGGTGCACCTGGTTGCGCGAGATTCGGCACAGCTGGCTCGTGAGTCGACTCTAGTGTGTCCCTCGGGCCTCACCAGTGGCCTCGTCTCCAGCTTCTACGTGAGTAATGGCCCCTGCCATGCGCTCATGGGGTGCACCTGGTTGCGCGAGATTCGGCACAGCTGGCTCGTGAGTCGACTCTAGTGTGTCCCTCGGGCCTCACCAGCGGCCTCGTCTCCAGCTTCTACAAGAGTGGGCCCTGCCAGTCATGCCCTTGCAGTAATGCCCCCTGCCACTTGTGCCCTTGCAGTAATGCCCCCTGCGAGTCGTGCCCTTGCAAGTTGTGGACACTGGCATGCGCTCATGAGTCCCCAGCTTCGACATCAGTGGCCCCTTCCATTCACTACAATCTGGACGTGCCCTGTTTATTGTTGTTGCTAATGACTTACAACACGCCACGCCAGCCGAAGCAGGTTTGTGATGACTATAAAATGCCCCTCCCCTCACCGCACTGCACCACACACACACCCACCTGATCCCTTTTCCCAGGTAACCCCATCCACCCAGTTCGGCGCGTCTCAACATCGCAGAACTCCAAACAGAGTGATTAAATATCATTAGATCTTCTTCCAGTCTTCCTCTTTAGCTTTTCGCTGGGAAGATCCGTGCTAGCGAGCGAGGTGACAGATTTTGAGTTGACTCAATAATCACCTTTTCCTTGGGAAGATCCATAGTAGTCGGTAGCAGGAACAGCCTAATCGGGTGTCTGCCTCTTGATTTCATCACATTCACCTTCCACCCCCGCACATGGCGCTCTTCTATCTCCCACATGTCTTCCCACTCTCGCACATGTTCTGTGTCCCATGCTCTTTCAGCTATCAACGCAGGAGGGCAGCGGGCGGCAGGACGAGATCGACTTTGAGTGGCTGGGCAAGAGCAACGCGCACGTGCAGACCAACTACTACGTCTCAGGGGTGGGCGGCCACGAGGGCTGGCACACTCTCGGCTTTGACTGCTCAAAGGCGTTTCACAACTACGCCATCCTATGGACTGCTGCGCGAATTGTGTGAGTGGGAGTGGAGTGGCCCTGGGGTGGGAGGGACCTGCTGGTGTTGTGTGGGGGTGGGCCGCCACGAGGGCTGGCACACTCTCGCCTTCGACTGCTCAAAGGCCTTTCACAACTACACCATCCTATGTATGGACTGCTGCACGCATTGTGTGAGTGGGCAGTTTCGTCGTGTGGGTGGATCCTGGATCCTGGATCCGGCACTGTTGAGTAAAGAGCACGCCTCAGAAGGGGTATTGTTGCTCGCTTCTCTGCAGCAGTGCGTAGGGGTCTGGCACACTGTTGGCTGCGACTGCTATAGGGCCTTCTAACAACTACGCCACCCTCTGGACCGCTGCGCGCATCGTGTGAGTGAATCCAGCGCAGTTGAGCACACGTCAGTGGGGGAATTGTTGCGCGCTTCTCTGCAGCGGTGAGTACAAGACCTGGCAGGCAGGAGTTGCAGGACCCACCACAGAGGACAACACACCCTTAGGTTGACTGACTTCCTCAGGGGCGTTCATTCGCAACCGCGCCATCCTCTGGACCCTGACAACTACGCCATCCTTCCCAAGTGAGAGTGAGAGTGAGAGGCCTGTTGTTGTGCTTCCCAAGTGAGTCGCCTCAGAGGCAGGCGTGTTGGGGTGAGTGCATCCGGTGCTGCGCAGGGAGAGCAGTAGAGCGCGTCCGTCTCTTGCTGCATCCCTTATGTGGGATGCGGTGGGAGGGACTGCTCAATGGTGAATGGGGTTCTATGCACGAGGGGTGGCAAACTCTCGGCTTTGACGGCTCCAAGGCCGTTCACGGCAACGCCATCCTCGGGACTGCTGCGCATTGTGAGTACCCGTAGAGTTCCTTTACCGTGGTCTTGTAGGTGCGCAGTGTGGGGGACAAGTGAGACCCGCGCCAACTGTGTGAGGAGTGGTTCCTTGAAATGAATCGTGTAGGTCTGTTCGGTTGGAGGCGGAGTGAGGGTGCATGGACTTCGTGTGTCCACCAAACTGCTTCTTTAGATGCTGTGACAGCACAAAACGGATGTTGTTTTTGTGCTTTCCTCATACTCGTGTGTGTGTGTGTGTGTGTGTGTGTGTGTGTGTGTGTGTGTGTGTGTGTATGTGTGTGCATGCGTGTGTGGTTGGGGGGAAGGGGAGGAGGGGAGAGGGGGAGAGGGGGAGTGCGTGAGTGTGCATGTGTCTGCGGGGCCGTTGAGGAAGGGGGGCGGGATGGGGATGATTTGCCTGAGTGCCTGCTACTCCTCCGTGCAGCTGGTTTATTGACAAACTCCCTATACGAGCGGTGGTAAACAACACTGCATTATCAGCCGAACCTTATCCATCCAAACCTGCTTTCCTCTATGCAAGTGTTTGGGATGCAAGCCGTTTGAGCCGTGGCCTGTGGTCAGGGAAAAGGGCAAGGCGTACGATTGGAAATCGTTATTGGAAGGTGTTTGCCAGATACAAGAACATAAAGGTCGTTTCTCCTTTGTTGTGATAGTACTCAGGGCTGACGTTAAAAAAAAAAACCACCCTGAGCTGTCGACTAGATTTCTTTTTTTTAACCCTGAGGGCTCTGTTTTGGAAAAATCCCTACCCTGATCTGTCAGTGTTCAGGAACCTGAAACCCTGAAATTCCCAGGGTTCACGAACACAATCAGGGTCGAATTCAAGACCGGTCGAGAATTTCCTGAAATTCAAATTCCCACCAAACACTTCAAATCCCGTGTTTTTATGGCCTCAACTTTTGCCCCCGCCCAAACTCGCCGCCCTCCCCAAATCCCTCCCCCAAATCTCACCCCACACCAGGGTCCTAAATAGCATACTTTTTTTGTCTGATTGTCTGATTTTCAGACTGGTTTTTAGGGGTTTCTCTGATTTTTCAGACAGGGGCTTGCAAAAACTCTGATTGGACTAGACAAACTTTTAAGATTTCTCTGAAATTTTCAGACTAGGTGTACCAGTTTCTCTGATTTTTAGACAAGTGTTTTGAGTTTCTCTGAAACAAAGACATACAGGTGTAAGGTGCTCCCATGCGAATATTCCCTTTTTCGCCACACGTTGTCCCCCCTCCGCATCCTTGGCATACGTGAGCCTTCCCGAGCCTTCTGTTGCAACATCTGATGTGGCTAGAGCACATGTGATTGGATACTTTACGGTATTGCAGAAAAGCAGACCAGTCAGAGCCCTTTGCGGCGCGTTACTTGGGTCTGCAGCGCACGGTGGGGATCAGACCATGCCTCACCCCATGCAGTGAACTTGCTGCAGCATATGTGCACCGCTGTACGTCATCCCGCCCATCACGACGCGTCGCCCCGCCCATCGTCTCATCACTTGCCAGTCCGTGCCGCCATGGCACTTGACCAAGAAACCCCCTCCCCAACCGCTTCTTGCTCCCTTCGTCTCCACCTATTTCTTCCATCCACTTCTCTTACATTTTAGTGTTGTTGTCGTGCGTTGTGTTCTTTTGCTCGTGTTCTGTTTCAGGTTTAGAATCCCCTCTCGAAGTAGGGCCAACATGGCTGTCGTTGTCGAGGCTGACGGCGACGATCAGCCAGAAGGGTGTAGCGAATCCCCGCCTCCCATGCGAGGCCTAGACTTCCTGAGTTCAAAGCTGTCGCGCACCCCTGCTGCAGATACCTTCCGTCGCCCAGCCGCTATCGACCCTATGCTTGCGCCTTCCTCAGCCAAGCCCTCGCCATGGCCCGTGCCACTAGCATCCCCTCTTTTGTCGCCTGCGCGTTCGTCCAGTCCGTCCTTGCCTCAGCCCTCGCAGTCGCCCACACCATCGTCGGCGGTCCGCTTGGAAACCAATGCCGAAGCATCAGCTCGCTCCTCCGCCAAGAAGCAAAAGTATCAGCAGGCTTCTCTGCCGTGGTTCAAGGGCGCAATATCCAAGGCTCCTGACTCTGCACCGAGTTCAGCGCCCGGCCCGTCTACCGTAGAAGATATGGAGGACGATGATGCTGACGACGACGAGGAGGACGCAGAAGCAGTAGAGCCGCTGAAGGTCGCTAAAGCACGTGAGGCAGAGCTGAAACACAAGTTTGAAACCGAGTGGTCGAAGAAGTTTCCGTGGCTCGTCCTCACCAAGACCGATCTTGGTCGCCCGTCCATAAAGTGCAGCATCTGCACGGCGCACCGGTCGGAGAACTGCAAGTACGGCAAAGGCGGACAGGGGGGAGCAGACATCCAGGTGCAGACAATGCGCAAGCACCAGCGTACCAAGAAGCACCATGCCGCTGTCGAGAAAAAGGAGGCTAAGGAGAGGGCCGAGATGAAGCAGAAGCGCATCGAGGATTTCTCGAATGGTGACGTCGAAGGCAGACGTATCATTCGGTTGTTGATGGCGATGTTATTCATCTGTAGAACTTACGCACCGATCTTGATGGATGTTTCTCTGGTGAACTTCATGGCCTCGCAGGGTACGCCGGACTTGGGCGAGAGCAACTACGTCACCTACCACACAGAGTATGTGTTTTGGATTTCGCAAATCTCCCATTGTTCGAACCGCTAGAGTCATCTAATGCTTCTCGTTGCTTGCCATGTGTTGCAGGTACGGATTCAGGCAGTTGACAAAGGCGACGGCGAATTACCTTCGGCAGAAGCAGCTCGACCACATCCTGAAGAGTCATTTCATCGGTCTCAGCGTCGACGAAAGTACCGATCGACGGCGCGGCAAGCACTTAATTGTCTACGTGACATTCGTGAAGAACGACAGGGTTGTCATTGAGTTCTTTGCCTTACTCACTGTGCATAAGTGCAATGCTGGATCCCTCTTAGCCATTTTGCAGACCCATCTCGAATCGGCAGGTGTCGACATCAATAAGGTTTCAGGCATCAGTACGGATGGGGCCAGTGTCATGAGGGGGGATCGACAGGGTCTGGTTGCCCGCCTTCGGCAGCTCGTGCTGCACCTCGTCTCTGCTCACTGCATTGCTCACAGGTGAGGCGTAGTGCAGCACCACTTCCTTGGCAGGTTTCCTGACTTCATCGACTAGTTTTGATTTATGTTTCGTGGTTTTGATGTATGATGTTCCGTGTTTGTGCAGGGAGGCGTTGGCAGCTAAGGACGCTGCCAAGAAGTTTCCCGACTTCAACATGATCGACGACATCATCAGGATGCTGGCTGAGATTTTGGGACGCTCCTCAGTGTGGCACGACCGCTTCAGAGAGCTGCAAGAGATCCTGATGAAGAGGTTTCAGCATCGCCAGGTAACGTATACGCTAACGCTTCAGATCGCGCACATACTTTCGATCGCGCACATGCATATTCTATGCTGTGCTAAGCATGCCTTGGCTTTGTGATTTTCTCGTGCTACTTGCAGGTCGACATCACCAGGGTGGGAAGCATGGTGCAGAGCACCACCGAGGTGATTCGCGCACGGTACATAATCTGCTACTCTTTTTTCGGCGGCCTCAGAAGCAAGCACCTGCACAAGTTCTTGACATCCCATGAGCCTGAAGGTCGTGTGGTCGTCGAGGGGGAGGCGAAGGATGGCTAGCCAGTCCGCCACGAGTACATCCTTCACACGAAGTCGATTTCGGACTCGGAGTTCAAGAGCGACAAGAAGTCTTGCATCGTGTTGTGCCATGCCATGGCCCAAGAGACGATCGACTGCATCGAGTCAAGGTTCAGCGACCTGCAGCAGCTCGGAGGAACCAAGCTTTTTCTCTCAAGCGCCTATCCCACTGCGCGATCGGACCGCGAGAAGAAAGCGCTTGAGTGGCTGGCGCTTCTGAAGTGTTATTCAACAACAAGCCCCTGCCTGGTAAGTTCTTTAGACCAACATACTTTTCCAAGTGCTTTTCTGGATTACCCTTCTAATGTTTACTCAGTGTGCCTGTTATCTGAGTGCGATGCCATGCGTTATACTCACACTTTGCTGATTCCCTCCCCTCGCAATGTACCCCCCCCCCCTCCCCCTCCCAGGCGTTAGTTGGAAGCGCACCAAGGCACAGCTGACCTCATTCGTCAACATCATGGACGCGCATCACGGGGAGATGGCGTACCACGTCAGCCTGCGGCACATGCTGCGGACACGCGACTGGGAAGATGCCTATCCCAATCTTGTTAAGATTTGGGTGGCAACCGCCGTGCTCCCGTTGAGCATGGTGGAGTGCGAGCGGGGATTTTCCTGCCAGAACGTCATTAAGAGCTGGTCTCGGGGCAACCTCTGTGATGCCCGCTTGGGCGACCTTGTGTGCATCTCCCTCCTGCAGGATTACGACATGCAGTGGGATGAGATCGTTGACATGTGGAAGGCCGCCAAGCCAAGGCGGCCTTGCCAGGATGCAATTGCCCCCATTCTTGCCCCAATGTCCAGGAAGAAGAAGAGCAAGGCCGAGGCATAGAAGAGAAGGAAGATCGCTGAGCTCGAGGCTCAGATTCAGGAAGTGGAAGGGGATGGCTGTGGTTGAGGAGGATGGGCTGGAGGAAGGAGAGGTGGAAGAGGAGGTGGAGGAGGAGGTAGAGGAGGAGCTGACGGAATTTGATGATGACGAGTAGGTACCGTAAATGTAGGGAGGGAGGGAATGGCCATCTGCCTGCATGCTCGTTCGTTTGTAACTTGCAAGTAGTACTAACTTAATCAAAGTGCTTAACTGTATCTTCTATTGTCACCAGGCCCTCAGATTGGTTTTAAGTCATCTTGATTGCAAAGGACTACCCGTGGTTTTTTCCCTGAATTTTCAGAGGTCCCCAATTTTTTTTGCTTAGGGGTCAGGATTGTGTGGGACAAAAATGCTGAATGGACAGAGATAGATGGTTTTTTTTCCCTGATTGACAAAATGAAGAGGAAATTGAGAAGCAAGGAACTTTACTCGAAATTATCAAGATCGTCCACATTGTCACTACTACCTACACCCTACTCTGACTCTTCTTCTACTACCTTCCTTTTCTTCGAGCCGTCTTGCTTTGCCTGAGGGGTGTTGTTGAAGGGCTTACGCTTCTTGTAAGCGCGCCATATCTCCACTACAGCATCATAGTCCGGGTCATAGTCTAACAGTGATATGCACATGAGGTCACTAAGCCTAGTATCTTTAAGGCTTCCACGCAGGCAGCTCTTAATCACATTCTGCCTAGAGAATCCGCGCTCGCACTCCACAGTGCTGAGAGGAAGCACTGCCACCGCCATCCACAGCTTCATCAGGTCCGGGTAAGAATCCTGCCAGTCAGGTGTCTTCAGCATGGCCGTGAGCCCAGCGTGAAAGCTTTGGTCAGCCTGGAGAAGAGCAGCAATGACAGGGCAGAAATGAGGCAGCTCTCTCATGGCTGCACGCTTGTCAATGCCAGGAAGAATCTCCTCTGCCTCATCTGCACGATAAAGAGTAACAAGGGAGAAGAACCAGTCAAGGCACTGGGCCTTGCGTGCAGCTCTCTCCCAGTTAGGGGGCCAGAGGTTGACAGAGAAGAGGCGGCAGCCAGAGAGCTTCCCCAGATCACCCAGTCGCTCCTTCAAGTTCGACACCATGCCTGTCGCCATGGCCACACAGAGCCTCTGGCACGCGTCGTGATCGCCCTCCCCCGGATAACCAGGCAAGCGATCTTCATGCAGCACGAAGGTAAAGGAAGCCGGACGACCGTCGGAGTCAACCCCCTCAGCTGTGACCTCGCGAGAACCGCCCGGGCCGTGACGGGTGAGGAAGATGGTGAGACGGTCCTTCGGTCCCCCGCCGAAGTCTTCGGCATCCCCGTAGCGGCTCTGCAGCAGGGTTGTTGTGCGGATGATCTGCGCGTGGACGGCCGAGTACTCCAGCTGAGGTTGGGGCGGGGAAGAGGGGGAGGGGAGGAAGGGAGGGGAACGTGTATATATACAGAACCAGGGTGGTTTAATAACAACTCATTGTCACAGTAAAGAAAAACTCACCTGACGCTCCTGGAAGGACTTGTTGAGGATGTTTAGCTAATCCAGTA